AAAAAAAAAAAAAAGAAAGTATGTTTAAGAATGCATCTGCCATACTTGGGCTTGTCTTGTTCGCCCCAGTAGTCCCAGTCTCACCTAGAGCAGACACTCAGATGTTTCTGAATTGTGAATATATGATTCATTAAATGAATGAGGTACCAGGGCTTCAGAGAGCATAGGGATTCAGGGAGCTTCTTGAGACCTGGGAGTGGAAGGTTAGAGGCCTTTCACCTAAGCCCACCCTCTATAGCCCAGTGAGGAGGCCCATAGGGAGCAGACATGGGAGAAGTCAAGTCCCTGGCCATGTGCCTGGGGCTCTTGATGGCCTCAGAGAAATGGAACCATTACCTGTGGCTCTCAAAGGGCTAAAGACCAGGACACCAGGGTTGGCTCTGGAAGGGACATTCCTGTGGAAAGTGGAGGTCAGGCTGACACAGGGTGTGGTACCATTCTGGGTCTGGAATGTAGTGGAACCAGTGGATCAAGCTCATAAGGGCTCTGGGCTCTGGCCTCTCCATCCTTGTAGTTTCCATCCAGGATGACCCCCACCCCTTACCCCAAGCACAACGATATAACTGAAAAGCAAATATTTATTTTTCAAGAAGAGATACAGAGGAGAGGGTGAGGGCCTGTGGACTTATGAGGCCCGGGCAGCTAGTCTACGGTTGTCCAGGTAGTGCCGCAGGGCTGTGGGATAATCAGTCATGACGCCAGTGGCTCCCAGGCTGAAGGCCACTTCAAAATCTGACTCTTCATTAAGGCACCAAAAGATCACCTAAAGGAGGGGGGCAGAATGGGGAGGGGCACCGGGGGGCTTATAGTTTCCAAACAGTTCTACTTGGAACGTCCCCTTACAACTAGACAGTAGGAGTACTCCTCCCAACAGTGGTATGCTGGGGCTGATTGTTCAATTTTCAGGAATTTTGTAAAGAGGTTATTAAACCCAGCCATTATTAAAAATTAACTTATATGTAAACTTATATTTAAAACAAAGCTAATAAATACTAAAAACATATCACTTCCTAATCATTTTACTACATTTTACTATTCACTATGTTTTTGTCTGTTGAAGCTGTAAGAAAGAACTATTGTGGGCTCAGCGCCTATAGCTCAACTGGCTAAGGCGCCAGCCATGTACACCTAAGGTGGCGGGTTCGAATCCCCAGCCCGGACCCGCCAAACAACAATGATGGCTGCAACCAAAAAAAAAATAGCCGGGCGTTATGGCGGGCGCCTGTGGTCCCAGCTGCTTGGGAGGCGGAGGCAGGAGACTCGCTTGAGCCCAGGAGTTGGAGGTTGCTGTGAGCTGTAATGCCACGGCACTCTACCCAGGGGGACAGCTTGAGGCTCTGTCTCAAAAAAAAAAAAAAAAAAAAGAAAGAACTATTGTGGAATGGTGTACTAACGCATGTCTCTTCCCATTCTGCATTTAGTGAGTTCATGTTAGCCTGAAATTGGCCAATAGGAAAAATTAATGCTCAAATCAGGGCTTTTATTTTCCCTTCTGGAGAACCGGATGTTGAACATTTACCAACATATCAGTACCTCCCAGCCTGCTCCATCTCCTACTGTTCTGTGCCTTCCCTGCGTTCCTGAGTCCTTTCCTATGGGCAGTGAGGTAGGTAGAGATGGTATTTTAATCCCAGACGAAGTTCCCTGGACCTTTTTTTTTTTTTGAGACAGAGTCTTACTCTGTCACCTGGACTAGAATGCAATAGTGTTATCATAGCTCACTGCAACCTTAAACTCCTACTGTGTTTCCCCGAAAATAAGACCTACCCCAAAAATAAGCCCTAGCAGGATTTCTATGCATTTGTTAAATATAAGCCCTACCCTGATAATAAGACCTAGTGATGGGCATATCTGCATAGCCACGCCATGCATTTCAGCGTGGAGTGGTAAGGAAGACTGGAATACCTTTCATCTGCCACAGTTCCTTTCTCTGAGCCCGTTTGTTCACACTTGCACTGGTGTGCGTGTGATAACCACAGTTGCAGGCATCCTATTGCACACATGTGAACAGCTAGGGGAAAGGAGTTCACGCATCACTAGCGCCAGCCCCACCAACAAGGTCGGCTCCCCCTGTCAGGTTCCAGAAGAAGATGACTTAACTGTATTTGAATAAATGTAGATTGTTGTATTATACTTAATAAAAATAAGACATCACCTGAAAATAAGTGCTAGTGTGTCTTCTTGAGAAAAAATAAATATAAGACAGTGTCTTATTTTCGGGGAAACACAATAGGTTCGCACAATCCTTCTTCCTGAGCCTCCCAAATAGCTGGGACTACAAGTATGTGCTACCACACCCAGCTAATTTTTCTATTTTTTGTAGAGATGGGGTCTTGCTCTTGCTTAGGTTGATCTTCAACTCCTGACTTCAAGTAATCCCTTGCCTCAACCTACCAAAGTGTAGAGATTACAGGCATGAGCTACTGTGGCCAGCTTCAATTCTTATTTTTACAAATGACAGTGGTATTTCACCTTTCCCCTTTTTTTTTTTTTTTTTTGAGACGGAGACTCAAGCTATCCCCCTGGGTAGAGTGCCATGGCATCACGCTCACAGCAACCTCCAACTCCTGGGCTCAAGCGAGTCTCCTGCCTCAGCCTCCCAAGTAGCTGGGACTACAGGCGCCCGCCACAACGCCGGCCATTTTTTGATTGCAGCCATCATTGGTGTTTGGCGGGCCCGGGCTGGGGATTCGAACCCGCCACCTTAGGTGTATGTGGCTGGCGCCTTAGCCACTTGAGCCACAGGCGCCGAGCCCACCTTTCACCTTTGTGGTAAAGATGTGAGGAGTGAGAAAGCTGCCTGGGAAGAGCTCTATCATACCATACCACACTGCCCCCCAACAGCCAATCAGCAGCTAAGTCCTGGCTTCTGCTAGACCATCCATTCCTGCTGCTGCTGCCTGAGCCAAGTCCTATCTGTGGCAGGATCAGCTTGCTAATGAGGCTGTCTGCTTCCATGATGGTCCCCACAATCTCTTCTCCATGTTTTGTTCACTCATCAAACCTCAACTGAATTGGTTCTTTCTGCTGCTTCAGACTTAAAAGCTTCCCTTCCCTTTAGACTAAAGTCCATACTCTTCACTGAGGTCCATAGCCAGCCTTAGCCTCTGCTGCCTTGTTTAGCTCCACTTCCTCCAGGCTGCTACCTAAAGGATCCTCTCAGCACCTGCAGCTGTCACACATGCTAGACCTCCTGGCTGAGATGGTTTAACTTCTCCTAGAGCCGCTTCCTTCCTTTGGTATGGCTGCTCACACCTGACTTCTTCCTGAAGGCCCCAGGCCCTTTGGCCACAGCACTCTATTTCCTTTCTGTCTATTTGCAGCTTTTCCAATGGCCTACTTCATTTCTTCCCCTGGCCCTTGATGGAAAGCTCCCATCCTCAGTATCACAGTGCCTGGAATATCCTCATTAAAGCTTTGCTAATTAAATGACCTGGTCAAAGATGATGCTCAGGGGAGGGGGCCAGGCTGGGCTTAGGTTCTCTCGCCTCTGTTCCTTCCCCAGCCCTGCATCAGGGATTAGGATAATAGGTTCAATACATCCTCTTCCTCACTGTGGCTAACATTTATCACACCCCTACTGAATACCAGTTACATATCCAAAAGAGTTCAATATAGCATCCTCCCCATCTTGCAGAGGAAGAAACTGAGACTCAGATGTTGAGGTAACCTGTCTAAGTGATCCAGCTAGTTAGTGGCAGAATGTGACTGGACCCTGCTGCTAGGCCTACTTGCTGCAGGAGTGGCAGTCAAGCCCTCACCTGCACCCCACGCTCCTCCAAGTGGCGGATTAGACTCTTCCTCATGATGATCCTGCAGGGTGGGGTGGGAGTGACAAAGGTGATAATGAGAAGGGACAGAGGTATCTAAGGAATTCTCCATCCAACCTTCTTGCTCAGCTTACCATTTTGAAATCACTGCTGCCAGCTGGTTCAGCCCAGAGCAGGAAAATGGGAAATAGGTCCTGTAAGAGAAAGCCAGGGTTGGGAAAGAAAAGAGGTGGGGAGGAGAAGGGTCAGCCCTTTGGTTAAGCCTCTGTCATGGGAGGTGTGATAGGACCCCATGACCAGTGTCACCCCACCCCCTCTAGAGGAAACTTTGCAGTTGCTCAAATGAACAATTCATCCATTGTTCAGTAAGATCCTACTCTGATATCTGTGCTTTGAGGATGTGTCCCTCCCCTTGCCACTTTACAGATAAGGAAACCAAGTCTTAGAGACTTGCCAGTCACAAAGCAAAGCAGTAGTGCGGCCAGAGTCAGCACCAAAGCTGGATACCCAGTCTAGAGGTCCTCTTGGGTGGGCGTAGACAGCTGTTTGAGACCAGACAGCATTTACTGGGTTAGCTACTCCCCTAATCATCCCACTCCAGGGTTGACTTTAGAGGCCCTTTATAGGGTCCCACTGCAGGCTGGAGGCAGATCCAGGGCAAACTCAGACTCTATACTTCTAGCCATGTGACCTTGGGTAAATTACAGAACCTCTCTGAATCTCAGAATCTCCAGGGGGTGCTATGGGGAATCTAGTTCCCACACCTCTTGCTTCAGCCTCCCATCTTGGAGGTGCTGCAAGGGAAAGGTCAAAGAAATCAAAAGATGTAAAAACATTTTACACACCCTGTATAAAAAGTTATGTTGGCTGGGCACAGTGGCTCACACCTGTAATCTCAGCTCTTTGGGAGGCCCAAGCAGGAGGATTGCTTAAGCCCAGAGTTTGAGACCAGCCTGGGCAACATAATAAAAATCTGTCTCTACAAAAAAAAATTTGTAATTAGCTAGGTATGAGGCCAGGCGCGGTGGCTCATGCCTGAAATCTTAGCACTCTGAGAGGTCAAGGCAGGAGGATTGCTTGAACTCAGAAGTTCAAGACCAGGCTGAACAAAAGAGAGACCCCAGGCTCAGCACCTGTGGCTCAAGTGGCAAAGGCACCAGCCACATACACCTAAGGTGGCGGGTTCGAATCCAGCCCAGGCCCGCCAAATAACAATGACGGCTGCAACCAAAAAAATTGCCAGGCGTTGTGGCGGGTGCCTTGTGGTCCCAGCTACCTGGGAGGCGGAGGCAGGAGACTCGCTTGAGCCCAGGAGTTTGAGGTTGCTATGAGCTGTGATACTACAGCACTCTCCAGGGGGACAGCTTGAGGCTCTGTCTCAAAAAAAAAAAAAGAGAGAGAGAGACCCTGCTAGGCATCGTGGTATGGGCAGTATAAAAGGATCACTTGAATTCAGGAGTTTGAGGTTGCTTTGAGATAGGCTGACACTGCAGCACTTTAGCCTGGGGCAACATACTGAGATGCTTGTCTCAAAAAGAAAAAAAAAGAAACTTAGCCAGGTGTGGGGATGCAGGAGGAGCACTAGAGGCGAGTAATATGAGGTTGCAGTGAGCCTGGGTGACAGTGAGACCTTCTCTCAAAAAAAAAAAAAAAAAGTTGTAGTATAATGATCTCTTTGTAATAAGGGATTGTTGTGGTTAGGTGGGAGCTTCAGTCAGGACAACAGTGGGGAGCAGAGAGCCTTGGGGACCCCCACAGAGAAGTTGTTAGACCGCAAAAGGGGGGAGGGGCAGGCCTGTGAGCTAGGGAAGTATCCAAATTTCTGATACTTTTCCCAGCTGTTACTTTGTTAATCCCTGTTTCCCTGCAGAAGAAGGTTCATCTTTCCCTTTTTTTTTTTGAGACAGAGTTTCATTTTGTCACTCTTGGTAAAGTGGTGTAGCATCATAGCTCACAGCAACCTCAAACTCTTGGCCTCAAGTAATCCTCTTGCCTCAGCCTCCCAAGTAGCTGAGACCACAGGTGTCCACCACTATGCTGATTACTTTTAGAGATGGGGTCTTGCTCTTGCTCAGGCTGGTCCCCAACTCTTGAACTTAAGCAATCCACCTACCTCAGCCTCCCAGAGTGCTAGGATTACAGGTGTGAGCCATCACATCTGGACTCACCTTTTCCTTCTGAAAATTTAGAGCTATGCTATAAAGAATTATTATTTTGCAGTTTTGGCCAGGGCTGGATTTGAACCCACCACCTCCAGCATATGGAGGAACCTTACTCCTCTGAGCCACAGCACCACCTATACAATAAAAAATTATTACCTGTCTCTCCAGCCAGACTATAAGCTCACCAGGGGCTTCACCCCACCCACATTGGTCTTATTTACTGGTATAATTTATGTACTAGAACAGAGGAGACATTCAATAAATATATTGGATGAATTTGAATGAATAAATGAATGCTTTATCTTGAAAGGGTATATCAATATACATCTGCCTATAATTGCACATGTAGTCACAAATGCCAAGGGAGAACCACTGTCTTCAAAAGGCCTTGCAGGTTACCTTAGAGGGGATCAGGGAGCTGAGGAGACAGGGTTCCTCCCCCATTGATCCCTGAACCATGGGCTTGAGGTAGGGTGTGTCTGCCTGAGGTCCTGCCCAACCCCGTACCTGTTGATGATGGTGGGCAGGAAGCAGAAGAAGAACTTCTCCGGGAGGGGGATGAAAGGCAGCAGCCCCAGGTAATAGAGTAGCAGCACCCAGAGTCCTCTGGTTATCGTAAAGGACATTGGCATCTCAGGGTTCTAGGGGGCACAAAGAGGGTGAGAAAGGGATAATCTGCTCTTGGGGAAGCAGAGAGGAGCTCTGGGGAGCTCCAGGGGGAGTGGTGGCTGATGTTCAGGAGGTCCTACAACCTGCATGATCAGAGTCACATCTTGGTCCAGTGTTCAGTGCCTGCTACCTCTCCACATCCTACCCTGGGAGACCCTGCTCAAGGGCCAGTTCCACCAGAACCCTTCCAGACCTCTCTAGCTCAGGCCCCTCAGGAAACTGGCTGCTGGGAGGAGGGAACCCTGGATCAAGAAGGGAACAGGGGGCGGGGCCCGTGGCTCAAGAAGTAGAGCATGGGCCCCATATACTGGAGTTGGCAGGTTCAAACCCAGCTCCGGCCAAAAAAAAAAAGGGAACAGGGACTCACAGCGGTCTTGCATTTCTTCATGATTGAGCTCTTCTCTGAGGCCCAAATGGTGATTTCATTGCGGTCAAAGCGCCTCACCAGGCTAGCTGTCTAGAAGGAGATAGAGGTGAGAGGAAGCCAGGTCTTTCTCTGGCTGGGCCATTGCCCTCCCCTGCCTGCAGCCCCACCTTATGAATGAGTTCTTCATTTTCCTCTTTGATCTCCAAGCTCATAGGCATCCTTGGGAACTTCTGGAAAGTATCCTCCAGACTCACCATGTCCCGGTCTGACCCCTGAGCAAAGTGGCCTGGCAAGTGTGTGTGTGTGGGGGGGGGGTTGTGGGAGGAAGGATCAAAGGATTGGTGGGGTGGGGGTGGGAAACCAAGGAAGGGGTTTGGGGAAGGTACCCAGCTCAGGCAGGGCTCACAGCCCTTGCTCTCACCTGGTGAGAAATAAATCTCCAGCTCTTCCTTATACAGGGGCAGGTCCTGTGGAGGGCAGGAAGCATATCACTAGAGCAGTGATTTTCTTTCTTTCTTTTTTTTTATAGTTCCACAACATGAGGAACTGTATTTTCCTTTTTTTTGAGATAGAACCTCAAGCTGTTGCCCTGGGTAGAGTACTGTGGCATCACGGCTCACAGCAACCTGCAACTCCTGGGCTCAAGTGATTCTCCTGCCTCTGCCTCCAAAGTAGGTGGGACTACAGGTGCCTGCCACAAAGTCTGGCTATATATTTTTTTGGTTGCAACCATCATTGTTGTTTGGTGGGCCGGGGCTAGATTCAAACTCGCCAGCTCAGGTGTATGTGGCTGGTGCCTTAGCGGCTTGAGCCACGGGCACTGGAGCCATGTGTTTTTTTTGTTTGTTTGTTTTTAGAGACAGAGTCTCACTTTATGGCCCTCAGTAGAGTGCTGTGGTGTCACAGCTCACAGCAACCTCCAACCCCTGGGCTTAGGCGATTCTCTCGCCTCAGCCTCATGAATAGTTGAGACCACAAGCACCTGCCACAATGCCTGGCTATTTTTTGTTGCAGTTTGGCCAGGGTTGGGTTTGATCCCACCATCCTCAGTATATGGGGCCGGCACCCTACTCACTGAGCCACAGGCACTGCCCGAGCAGTGATTTTCAACTGGTGTGCTGCGGCACAGTAGTGTGCCATGAAAAAAATTTAAAGACCATTAATTGGATTATTATTTTTTTTTGCATTTTATTTTTATTTATTTATTTATTTATTTGCAGTTTTGGCCTGGGCTAGGCTTGAACCCACCACCCCCAGTATATGGGGATGGCGCCCTACTCCTTGAGCCACAGGCGCTGCCCCCAAATTAGATTATTTTTGAAAGAAATAATCTAATAAGCATATTTTTTTTTACTTTTTTTTTTTTTTTTTGAGACAGAATCTCAAGCTGTCACCCTGGGTAGAGTGCCATGGCACCATCATAGCTCATAGCAACCTCTTAACTCTTGGGCTCAAGCGATCCTCTTGCCTCAGTTTTTCTATTTTTAGTAGAGACAGGGTCTCACTCTTGCTCTGTCTGGTCTCAAACTCATGAGCTCAAGCAATCTACCTGCCTTGGCCTCCCAGAGTGCTAGGATTACAGGTGTGAGCCACCGCACACCTGCCCCCCCCTTTTTTGATCAACATAATTTAAGTGTGCCATAGATGTTAAACTGTAGGTTCAAGTGTGCCGTCAGATAAAAAAGGGCTGAAAAACACGGCTCTAGAGGCACATGTGGAAATGTGGCAACTCTCTGGGTTGGGATAGGAGTCAAGGAAATGCCCACCTCAAAGTCCAGGCTGCTTATATCCCTATTCAGGCCTGACTGGCGGGACAGGTTCTCATCATGTGATACCACCACAACGCCGTCCTTTGTCAGGTGGCAGTCAAGCTCTAGGAGGTCAGCTCGCTGGGCTATGGCACTATGGGAGCAAAGGTCAGCAGGGTGGGGAACCCAGATGGGCTGTGGTAGGGAGAGGCAGGGGGAACAGAGGGCTCCAGTCACAGGACCCCTTGGTATGATCCAGCACAACTTAGCCGGGACAGATGCACTCACTTTTCCATGGCTTCCATGGTACTCTCCAGTCGCTCTCCAGATCCTGTATGGGGTAGCTAGGGTGACCTCAGAGCCTGGCCTAGCCTGGTCACCCATGCTTCCTCTCCCTGCTGTCCTTAAAGCCTCCTTTTCCTAGTAAGTGCTGGTTAAGCCAGACTCTCCCTCCCCATCCATCCCTTGCTGTGTCACCTTCACCCTGCTGCTTTCTTCCTCACCCTGTTTCTGGCATCCTGCCCGTGGACCAACCCCTCTTTGTTGTCCACCTTGGCCTCACTCCACCCCATCACTGCCAAACCCCCCCCCCCCCACCTGGCTCACCTCCTCGGTGGGCCCCCAGGCAGACACGATAGGTTGGAACCCAGGGCTTATGCAGTAGGCGAGGCCGGCGCAGGAAGAAGATGGACAGCATGACATAGCCACCCAGGGCAGGCAGGGCGTAGTACAGCAGGGGGCTCATGGCTGTACTCCTGTGGCTCCTGTAGCCGCAAGCTCAGCTATCTCCAAGGAGGACTATACTCCTCACTGCCTGCCTAGCTGGTATGGGCCGGCTCTTCCACTGGCCATCACCACGCCCCTGGGACCTGCTGAGCCTGCTGCTGGCCAAAGGCCAGACTGCAGGGCTCAGCTGGAGTGAGGACAGAAGCAGAAGAGACAGGCAGCCCTGGCTCTCACATCCCCAGGCCCTTCACAGACCCCAGCATCCCTCCATCCTGGGCCACATGGCAGGAAAGAAGTCCCCCATCACCAGGTCTGTTATGGCCTTCCCCATGCCCACTGGTGCTTGTGGTTATGGTATATAACACACCTACCTCTTGCTATTCCAGAGAATCTGGGGGTGTGTAGGGTACCCCTGAATCACCTCCAAATCACCCCCAGCCAGTTAGACAGGAAGCCATGAGAAAGGGGAGAGGACAGTGACTAAGGGGGAAACTGACCCCACCCCACTCTTTCCAGGAAACTGGAGCTTCCATCCTCAACACTTAGCCAGCTAGGAGCCTAACAGCACCAGGGCCACAACCAGCCAAAGCTGGGCAGTAGCTGGATTGTAGAAGTCAGTTCTCAAAGCAGCACTGGTTAGGGCTGGGGTATCGGCGAACACAGACAGAGCCAAGGCCATCCATATACACATCTCTATATTTATATATTAGATACAGGCACAGGGAGGTGGGCAGGGGGCACTGGGCACTCCACGTGCCCCTAGCTTCACTTCCGCTCACCCACACACAGAAGCAGCAAGGGTGTTAAATGTGGCAGCTTTGAGGGGAGGGGGTTTGGGCCTGGCCCTATTCCTCAGGGATACTAGCCCTTGAGACTTAGGTCTTCGAGGAAACGAGGTGGGTTTTAATGAGATGAGTAAAGCAGGGCTTTCCCTGCATTCCTAGTCAGTGTCCCCACCCCACAGTGGGTCCTGGGGCAGCCAGAGCCCTTCTATCCCAGAACTACCAGAGACTGGGATAGCTAGGGTAGGTGGAAGCAAAGCAGAACAGGGAGATTTGCTTTGGGGCCACTTGAGCCCCTTGGGCCCCAGGGGAAGAGAAGTGAGGGACACTTTGGCCTGCTTAAAGCAGGAGGCCTAAACAAAGGGAGGGAAGGTGGCCAGGTCCACCCTCTGCCCTGGCCTGGGCTGCCAGGGTCTGGGCTGGGCACAGTGTCCATTTCTAACAGTCTGGCAGGAGAAGGGTAGGCAGGAGGCAGGACCTAAAAGAAGACAAGCAGGAAAGGAATTGTTAGTACCCATGAAAACACTTGATAGAGCCCTGACCTCAACATCTCTCATTTTATCCTCACAGTTGTGTAGGATATATCTCAGTTTCCTTATCTGTAAATGGAGATAATTATATACTTATATATTTATAACATATAATATATATACATGTTATATACAATATATGTAATATTACATACATATATTTTTTTTCTTTCTTAGGGATGGGTCTTGCTCTGCTGACCAGGCTAGAGTGCAGTGACATTATCATAGCTCACAGCAACCTCAAACTCCTGGGCTCAAGTGATCCTCCAATTTCAGCTTCCCAAGTAGCTGGAACTACAGGCATGTACCAGCACACCTGGCTAATTTTTTTTTTCTTTTTTTGAGACAGAGTCTCACTTTGTTGCCCTCAGTAGAGTGCCATGGTTTCATACCTCACAGCAACCTCAAACTCTTGGACTCAAGCGATTCTCTTGCCTCAGCCTCCTGAGTAGCTGGGACTACAGGGGCCCACCACAACATCCAGCTATTTTTAGAGACGAGGTCTCACTCTGGTTCAGGCAGGTCTTGAACCTGTGAGCTCAGGCAATCCACCAGCCTTGGCCTCCCAAAGTGCTGGGATTACAGGTGTGAGCCACTGTACCTAGCCAGTGGACATAATAGTACCTATCTCAAGGTAATGCTATAAAGATTAAATGAATTAATATGCATAAACCTCTTAGAACAATGCTTAGAGTTCTATCCATGCTTGTTCTCATTACTAGAACTGTTTTCAGGAAATGGAGATGTAGAAAGGTGAAGTGTCTTACACAATATCACACAGTGATATTCAGTGGTAGAACTGGAATTTGAGTCCAGGTGTGTCTGCCTTTTTTCTACCAGATGGCAGCTCAGCAAAGATAGGAAGAGATTGGAGGAGGGAAGGAGGGCAGTGTGGGTGGAGGGCAGGCCTGGTGGGGTCCCCCACAGCTGTGTGAACTGCTGACCTGAGCAGCCAGTGGGAGAAGGCCTGGCACCTGGGTCAGGATGGTTCCACCTGCTTCTGCCCACACTAGGAGAGCCAAAGCCTGGCTATGCTCCTTAGATGGGTGACTGGTACCCTCAGTGATCTCTGGGGTTCAGGAATGGCTACTGGGGTTGGAGGATGCAGGGTGTTGACAGCTAGGAGATATTTGGGGATGGAGGACTGGATGGGCCACGACTCTGAGCCTGGGTGAGCCCTGGGGTCTTCTGTTACTATCACACATGTGGTTCACAGGTATGGCACAAGCTTATGCATAGAAGCATGTCTGGGACACTGGTGTCAGTGAGTCTGTGTGTAGGCAGTGGGAAAACTCACCAGGCCCAGAGGGCAGGCCATCTAAGTTATGGGGCCTCCAGCCCCCCAGGCTGGAAGCGGGCTGTCTCCTGGAAGATGAGCTCCTTCAGCCGCTCCTTGGGTAGATCATCCAGCTCCATATCAAAGGTGAAGGGCTCCTCAGCCACTGGCTGGGGTGGCAAAGACAGTGAGGTCTAAGGTAGGCATGTAGGCAGGCCTGCTCTCCCACGCCCAGCTGCTGGGGGCTGGCCCACCTCATCTGTTGGATCGTAGTACTGCTCTAGGTAGGGGTGAGCCAGTGCTTCCTCCACTGTGATCCGTTTGTTGGGGTTGAAAGTTAACATCCGGTCCAGCAGGTCAAGGGCTAAGGGAGGACAGGAGTCAGGGTCAAAGGGAAGGCCAGAGGAGCTTCTAGAAACATTGTTTTTCATCTCTGTGCCCAGAGACCTATCTCCTCAGGTGGCTGCTGGGCTCATGCACTCTTCTCTCCACCCAGTGTTTATCCCATACCAGCCCCCTTGTCTCAATCACCTTTGGAGTCTGACTTGGGAAAAAGTTTGGCCCAGGCCACCTTGGTCTTGGAGGGCAGAGACTGTAGGTAGTTTCGGGCCTTCATGTTGATGACACAATTTAGGTCCTCTTGGGATGGGGAGCCCAGAATGCCTGTGGATAAGAGGGTGACTTGGTCAAAGATCTCCTTCTTCTGGGAATAGGACAGGTAAGAGGTTGAAACAAGAGCTCCAGCTCAGCAACTCATTCCTGTCTCTCACAGTAAGAGTGAAAGGGGTGGATTCAGGCAGACCTAGCTCAAATCCTGGCTCTAGTGCTTCCTTAGGTGGGGGGATTAGCCTTGTTTTTCCCATCTATCCAATATAGTACCTATACCTCACCAAAATACTATGGAATGCTAGAGGGGCCACATGTGGTGGTACCCCTAATTCTGACACTTAAGAAATCTCACCTCAGATAAGCTAATGCCCTCCACCCCAGTTAGCCAGGCCCCCTCACCCAGAATGTGGTTAAGCTGATCCAGGTAGTGCTTGCCAGGGAAGATGGGCCGGTTAGAGAGCATCTCAGCCAGAATGCAGCCCACAGACCAGATATCGATGGACTTGGTGTAGCCCTGGGTGGAAGAGAAAATGGTGGGTTCCTAGGCCAGCCTCAACAGGATCCTATTGTCTGGGCCAACCCACCAGCTCCAAACTAGATCTAACAGCAGCCAGAGAGGCAGTAGGCAGAGGCCTAGAGGACCCAATGCTCAGCTTCCTTCCATAGCCCAAGGGCCAGAGGGAAGAGACAAGGCCCACAGGGTGAACCTACTACATCATGGAAGTTAGTGTGTAGCTCAGAGGTGGCTTCAGAGTTTCCTGGGAGCTGGCTTCCACTTTTCTTTCATGGGTGGAGAGCTTTCCTACCTTGGAGTTCAGCATGATCTCTGGGGCTCGGTACCAGCGTGTAGCCACATACTCAGTCAGAAAGCCAGTGTGGTCATGCTCAGGATCAGCAATCCGGGCCAGGCCGAAATCGCAGATCTGGAATCAGACACAGGGTGTTGAGCTCCAGGCTTAAGGTTTCCATGGCCCAGGTGGTCACACTGCCTTGCTTTTGCCCACACTGTTCCCCTTACTTGCAATGTTCACCTGCCTGAGGCTCCTACTGGTCTGGTCACCTGGAAGCCCCAAACCCTAGGGGAAGAGAGGATAAGTGCCCAACTTCTGACCTTAAGGTCACAGGTGGTGTTGATGAGCAGGTTAGAGGGCTTTAGATCTCGGTGGAGCACATTGGCTGAGTGGATATACTTGAGGCCCCGCAGGATCTGGTAGAGGAAGTAGCAGATGTGATCGTTGCTCAGCTGCTGGCTTTTGAGTAACTTGTATAGGTCTGTCTCCATCAGGTCCTGCACAATGTAGCTGAGCATGGCTCCGGAGACCCCCACATAGGGGGTAGCAAGCGGCACTCAGTTAAGGAAAATGGGCCCTGGCAACTAGTCTGCATATCCCCTCTGTCCAACCTGTATCATGAGCTGGGCAAGGGCCATGCTTAGCAGCAAAACTCAGAGCCTCTGTGGTGTCTCAGCTGGAGGTCTGCAGCAAGGCACTTCATTCTATGGCCTCAGTTTCCCTACTGGGGAGATGGGAATAATAATAAACAATGGGAAACAGGAAAACTTCATAGTTAAGAGCAGAAGCTCAGAAGTGAACCTGCTGGTGTCTGAAATTCCTATTCTACTACTCACTGGCTTTATGACCTCAACCTGTATATGCCTTGATGTCCTCTTCTGGGAAGCAGAGTAAACAATTGTTCTTCAGAGGGTACTTGTGAAGACTAGTTGAGGTGACCCACGTTTAAGCTGTTAGCCCAGTGCTTGGCATGTTGTGTGTGCTCAGCAAACATGAACTATTATTGCAAATATAAATGCCTGAGTCACATG